GCTGGTCCGTTTAAGGTCACGCTCACTCGCGGGCGTGGTATAAGATCCACAAAGGCTTACGTCTGCATTTTCGTATGTCTAACTACTCGAGCAGTGCATATAGAACTCGTTGGTGATCTAAGCACAGCAGGCTTTATGGGTGCATTTAAAAGATTTCTATCGCGCAGAGGCCCTGTAAGTAGATTATATTCGGATAACGGTACGAACTACGTCGGTGCAAAACGTATTCTATCGGAACTACATGAGCTCTTAGCTAGCAAGTATTATAATTCGGAGTTCGCTCACATTCTAGCCGAGAACCGCATTGAATGGTCTCTGAACGTCCCAGCCGCGAGTCATTTTGGGGGCAATTGGGAGACTAATATTAAAAGTCTAAAGAGCCACTTATACCGAGTAATAGGAGATCAAATTTTGTCCTTCGAAGAGCTAAGTACGGTGCTCGCTCAAATTGAATGCGTAATGAATAGCCGCCCACTTTGTCGGACGTTATCTAGTGACCCCTCGGAACCGCTGGCTCTAACTCCAGCACATTTTTTGACTTTAACGCCTCTAAGGTATCTGCCCGCCGCGGATGTGGATGAGAACAGACTTAGCATTTCCACACGCCACAAATTATTAGATCGGTTAGTGCAATCGTTTTGGAAACGATGGAGGATGGAATACTTGCATACTTTGCAGTCTCGGCAAAAATGGAACACAGCGACAGAGCCTTTAGCTGTAGGAACCGTAGTTGTGCTCACTAAGGAGAATACGCCGCCTCTCCACTGGCCGTTAGGAATCGTCGAGGAGGTCTTTCCCGGTTCCGACGGAGTAATTAGGATAGCTCGCGTTAAGACCACGGTTGGGTCTTACCTACGTCCGGTTATCCGTTTGTGCCCCTTGCCTCTTCCATAATTTAAATTAGCTTTTTTGACTGAAATTGTAGTTTAATTTAGGTAATCTTAGCGTTAGTTAGTTATTTGTTAGTCGATCTTAGCTCTAGTTGTTTAGTTATTTTTTTTGAAGGAAATCCTTCAAGGGCGGGGGAGATGGTTGCGCGGAAAACCATTCGCGTTTTTTATTTTTGACGGTAGGAATTTGTCGAATCATTATTCCCTTCCGAAACAATATCATTCGTACCCTCCTATCGACACATCGGGGTGGTGGGGTGGGAGGGGAAAGAAGACGATTCTAGAACATCGCGTAATAGGTTTGAGGTTTGACCGGGGAACTAGATTTTCGGCAGCCTTAAACACGTGGCTCCAACAATACCAGTTAATGTTAAGGTGCTAAGGTGATAAAAAATCAATACACTGATTTAGAAAAGTAATTGTATTTTTATATCACAGATAAGTTACAATATTGGACTTAATGACCTTCAGTCAAAACTTATTACCTACTAATTCCTTCTTACAAATAATTGTAAATCTTTGTTTAAAACAAAACAATTTTTTTACTAAAAATAACAAAAAAACTTAAGTTTACTTTTTAATCTTAGAAACAAAGCATACCGTTTTCACATCAATTTAACCAAACAAATCAAAATATTTTTGGGTCTTAATTGGAGTAATAAAAAGTAAAAACCAAAATGCTTTTTTACATAAAACAAATTAAAAATAATTCGGTCTTATTTAAATTATTTGGTATGGTAATGGTAAAGGTAGAAACAGTCTTTGTCATGGTTGATGCACAATTAGTAAACGTTACATTTGCAGCACCTTATTTTAGTTCTGTTCAAAACGACATTTTCGTGGTTCTTTTATCTCATCAAATGCAAGTAAGTGTTCGTAGTCGTATGATGGACCATTTACGGTTGCGGGATTATTTGCCGGCTTGTATGTTTTTGAAGTATGAAATTCTTCTTCGTCTGGTGAAGATTCAATCCAATCTATGTCCGGGGTGTTCATCATAGTTTCAGCAATATCAAACCTGAACAAAAGTAAATCCTGAATACGGTTTTTGGAAATACCTTTGGCCAAGGAATCACATCTGTATAGATGCCAAGCATTTACTATCGCCAAGTCCATGAAGTACAGTATTACTTTTAGAGTCCACTTTCGTGTCTTCATGTAGGTCCTATAATACTCCATAGACTGGTCTAAGAAGTTTGCTCTACCCACAAATATATTATAGGATGTTATAATCTTCGGGGCATCAACATCGACGGAGCGTTTGTCATTTTTATTATAACGTTGAACCTGATCTGTCTTCGTTGCAGTTGGGCGCAGCAAGAACCGATTTACTATCTTTCCATTTGACCAAAATTATGTCACTGGAAACTCTTTGAACGATATCGCCTCTTCGCATTTTTGTCCCCGTTCCATGATAACCGAGTCTCTTCAATTCATCCAACAAAGGAATAGTGGTAAAATATCTGTCCAAAAAGACGCAGCTTCCTCGAGGCGCGCTCTGGGTGAGGCGAAAAAATACAGCAGGTCTGAGCCCTAGGCAATTTGAAAAAGCAGGGTTGTTAGGATAATATATTTCAAAATTTAACAAAAGCCCTTCACTTGTGGTGAGAACAAAATGTTTGAGTCCCACCGGCCGTGGTCTCAAAGAACAAGTCTTGACCAGTTGCTTCAAGTGGCACTTTCCTGTAAATGGGATCATTTGTTCGCCTACCGAAAACCTTCCTGGCATTCTTGAAATTTTATTACAGCTTCTCGTACGACGTTAATCACACGTTGCACCTTCCAAAGAGGATTACCTGTGTAATTAATGGGCGGTTTATTGGTTTCCACTACATGCAAATTATTACGCAAGGTCATGAATCGATCTCTTGTCATCGTAGCTACAATCGCTTAAATGCAAATTTTTTGCTTCCAGTACATGGCAATCCTAGGATAGGATAAAATTCCCATCATAAGGTTTTTCGCATATAATAACAATTAGTACAATCTGACATAAATTGAAAAAAATCATCTTTTTAATAGTCTTTAACGTATTCAATAGGCGATCGAACTCTATTTGACTCCGGGTGACCTGGGTAATCGTGAATCTTATCAATAAAAGCTGTTTTTTTCAAATCGTTTTACGCCGGCGGCCTTTTACTTATTTCATTACTTGTTACCTTCTTTTTAACTCCCCGTTTAGGAGGCGGTGACGTGTTTGGACTGACAAGTTCTATTTCACGTACGAAGACTTCTGTGTCAAAACTCGGCACGAAAAATTCGTCGTTGACATTGTCCACTTCTAAATCCGAGCAATTTCCATCGTCCAGCAAGTTTAGCAAGAGTTCGTCATTTGATGGTACCCTAAAATTAAACGAAATATTAGAAAACTTGTAAATTTATGATAAAATCACGATCATGCGTAAGTACAATCAAGACCCAGAGCTCACGATCGTGCTATCAATAATTTGCAATAAATCAGTATCTGGCTGGTTTTCACTCAAATTATTTAATGTTACGAGTAGTGTCAAAATTTTTACTATAAAAACATAAAAATATGAATAAAATACACAAAAACGTTAATAAAACCATAAGCACTTACGTAATTCTGTTCGGGGATCCTCTTTCGCCAGCCATCTTTTCGGGCTGCCAGCCGAAAACGATTTCTTACTAGTTAGTTTCTCAAATCACGCTCGATCGATGTCGGTTTCGTTCAACAAATAGATTACGCGCGCTTTTAGAATTATTTGAAAATGTAAGTCACGATCGTGTGACTCAGGTGTGAGAGGGTTAAACTATTGCGATAATGATAATGATGATGATGATAATTTATGATATTTTAACTTTTAACTCCTGAATTTGGAATTAATTATATTAATTATTTATGGGGGGATATAAAAGCTCGAAGTTGTTGACGAGTACGTTTACCTGGGACAAATAGTCCGACTAGGTAAGTTCAACTTCAACCGAGAGGTCAATCGACGGATTCAACTCGGCTGAGCAGCGTTCGGGAAATTACGACGCATCTTCTCGTCAGGTATACCTCAAAACCTGAAAACTAAGTTGTACAACCAGTGCGTGTTGCCAGTGATGACCTACGGAACCGAGACGTGGTCCTTCACTGCTGGCCGTATGAAGACGCTTAAAGTCAGTCAGTCAGCGAGTTATGGAGAGGGCTATGTTCGGAGGTTTTTTGCGTCATAAACTTAGAAATGAGGATATCCGCAGTAGAACCAGAGTGACCGGCATAGCCTACCCGATTAGTAAGCTGAAGTGGCAATGGGCCGGCCATATAGCTCGAAGAACCGATAACCGTTGGGGAAAAAAGGTTCTCGAGTGGCAGCCTCGTACCGGTAGGCGAAGTGTAGGACGACCCCCCACTATATGGAGTGACGACCTGGTAGGACATGCAGGAAGTCGGTGGATGCAAGTGGTTGAGGACCGTGCTTTGTGGCATACCTTGGAGGAGGACTATGTTCAGCAGTGGACTTTTGAAGGGCTGCAATGATGATGATGATGATGATGATATATTAATTATAGGATTCCAAACAGGTCATAGCACCCATCCACTTTCTCTCCCTGAGCGTCAGTGCTCTTATGTGGGAAGTCTGTAAATACGAGTATGTTCAAGTTCGTCCCCGACATTAAATCAGATTTTTGATAACCCAGAAATCCTCGCATAAGAACACCGATTCCTAATAACGATGATTACCGAGAGTATTGAAATAAAAATAAAAAGATTTTAAATTTAATAGAGAAGATGGTTGGGTATTACCTACCATTCACTCGTGAGATCAATAATTAACAAAATTAAATCCAACCACAAGCATACCACTCGAACAAAAATGGTACGGTCTCCGCTAACACAAATGGAAATTGCAATTTTAAGTGCTACTTGACTTATATCCTCGGTGATGAAGGAGAACATTGTAAGATGAATTAAAATATTTCGAGGACATGTGAAGTCTACCACACGCAATAGTAAGCTGAGCTTCACGGTGGATTATTTGCATTATAAATCCTTTTAGAAATGAGAAAATGCCTATGTCCGTCAGTGATACGTAAGTATATACCAAAGGCTATATTTTATTTTGAATTATATTGATTATTTTTAATGAAATGATATTTTACCTTTATCTTTCAGCCAATTTCCATATAAAACATAAAATTCCCAATTATCTGACTCCAATTTCATTAATCTCCATAAAATCTTTTGCTTTTCCGGTTCGGGTGTCAGTGAGATAAGTTCAAAATGAGCTTGAACGAACAAAGGGCGAAGAAGTATGCATTTTTCGAGCATTTCGATGGCTTGCTTTGTTTGCCCATTTTTTCTAGAAATTAACACAAGTAAGTCAAAATTGTATTTGAAATGTACAACAGACCATAATTATAAACACTAAAACAATTTGGTTCTTAATTTCCTTCATAAGTCTGTGAAAGCTCACAGTTTGACGCGGCTCTACTCAGCTTTTTTTTTACTTACGTAAATAATTAACTTAAATAAACGTCATCTCCATAATAAGTTTTCCTCCTGTATCGTAGGGGCAAGTTAAATACACATATTTCACTAGGACAAACATTACCAGAGAGTACAGTTCCAGACCTAGAACAATCATTTGTAGGCCATACAAATACTTGTTCCGTGCGGGATTCGAACCCGTGACGCCCAGCGCTGCAACTCATTGCTGAGCCACTGCTCCACGGAGGCCTTTAAAAAGATAAGTTTGCCTCAGTCACGCTTGGGAGATGGATTGACGATCGCAGTAGCAGATGTCCAAACTCTTGACGTTTTTGCCCTGGTGCTCTGTGTATTTAAAGTCTGGTATAAATTTCTCTCATTTTTTGCATGGCCAGTTTTAATACACCCTCGGGATGAAACGATGTGATGCCATCTCGTAAACAGCCTCCACACAGCAAAAACAGTTCTCATTTGAAATACAAACACACACAGACATATATATATATATATATATATATATATATATATATATATATATATATATATATATATATATATATATATATATATAGTAAAATTTTAACTTTGGGATATTTAAAAACTGCGGTTGCCAATCCGTTTACAAAGCTTGGCTGTGCCCATATCCTAGGCCTATGTTCAGCAGTGGACATTAATAGACTGAAACGGTAATGTATCATTGACTTATATTATATTGACTTATATCGACTATTAGTACTCTTTTTGAAAGAACCCACGCAAGTTTCGAATATTTTTCCATATTATCAAATATTAAGTGTACTGGGTGATTTTTATCGCGGTCTAGACAAAATAGGGTGAACGGAATATAAGCCTATGGCACATTTTTTTACATTAACATATTATGAAATTGGTATTATTACTAACATAAACAATCACGCCTTTCCTTACCCGTCCGTACTCTTTGCTCTGGGTAAGTAAAGAGTATGGACTTCCAAAAGAGTACGGACTTCCATTTTGCATGATCCTGAAAACCTCTCTCGTCTCTTTTATATCTTTTACATACATGCTCGATGGGGTATGAGTACCTCGCGTCCGTAGGCTTCGACCACCTAACCCTAGGCCCACCCTACACATCTTCCTTGGGTAGTTCTAAACGAGCGGCAAAGCCTATTATAGTTTAATGAAACTAATTTTATCGCGTTTGGTTTAACTTATTTAAATTTCAGAGACAGGATTTCTACCATCTAAGAATATTAGATTAGCAGGAAACTGCGCCGGAGTGTTTGCGCATACACCATTGAGTTGCTAACTTCAAAATATACACAAAATTTGTGATCAGCTTTAGAAAAGGCCAGGGCATGAAAGGGGTATATCTAAAATTAAATTAATTAATTTTGGCATTTAATTTAGGAAGAAACCTTTTGGAGCGTTTTGCATCAACCTCAGTCAGGCTTTGTCAATTATTGGACGTCCAAATATTATTAGACATATTAATCCAAATTAAAGTTAATAAGAGTTGCAATGAAAATGCACGTTAAAATTGAAGTAGATTAAATCTGTAAAACCAGTTGAATTATCTTTAAAAGCTTTAGCTGCCGACCGAGGTTTCGAATCACGCACGGAGCACGCGTTTGTATCCTACGAATTATTTTTCTGGTTCTGGATGTTTTTTCAATGTCCAACTCATGTATAAAACCGCTCCACAATATATTAAAACATTCTACTGGAAGGGTTACATTTTTATTTTAAAATTAAAGAGATAAAGAAAGAAAAATATAAGTAAAAACTGCGGAGTTACTTGTACAACTTTCCAAGATTGTAATGCGCATTAGCGTGGTGCTTGTTAAACTTGATTGCCTGCAGGAAGTGATATTCTGCGTTTTCTAATCCGCTAAGTAGGGTGCCAATATTATTGTGAGCGCTTGAGTATGTCGGCCATAACCTGTTGACAAAATTTCGGAGTTAATTTAAGTAACAGTTAAAGAAAAAGAGGTTGCACTTGCTGAGGGTTCTTCCAAAGAGTGTTAGCGCGCTTGGCAACTGTTTTACGTATTAGAAAAAGATAATTGACCCGAAGATCGTCTAGAGCACTAAGTTTAACAAAAAAAGTTTAAAAGACCTTAAGCTATCTAAGTTGTAACCGAACGAAAAGACATAAGCTTGAAAATTGCTTACTCATAGACCTTGAAGAAGCTCTGTCAACTGATTGCGTAAAATCTATTCCAAAATGCTGAATCTGAATTCCACAGATTGGTGATGAAGAACACAATTGCCAGAACGATTGCAATTATTGTATGCTCATCAACCCGCTTGCCCACCATAAGATATTTTAAAAAATTCAAAATTAGAAGAACAATAAAAGAAAGAAAGAAATAAGGTAAGAAGAGATAGTAACGTACGAACCAATGTAAGAAAATCAAATAAAAAAACAACAAAAAGAGAAAAGAAATGAAAAAATGGCGTATTTTAATTTTCCACGGCCCACTTCTTTTTTGTACTTATTATAGTGATTTGATTTACCAGTAAAGTAAAGTAAAGTAAAGTTACAGCCTATATACGTCCCACTGCTGGGCTCAGGCCTCCCCCTCATTTCTGAGAGGGTTTAGGGCAAGGAAGTGTCCGCCGCGCTGCCCAAATGCGTGTTGACGAACTTCACATGTCTTCGAAATATTTTTTTTCTTATTCCTCAGACATGCAGGTTTCCTCACGATGTTTTCCTTCACCGCCGAGCACGTGGTAAATCAGCACTTAAAATTGCAATTAACAATTTCATTGGTGCCGGCGGGGATCGAACCCGGGTTACTCGCGTTCTGTTATATTTACAGCGAGCGTTAACCACTGAGCTACCACGGCTCTTTACATTATTTATATTATAGTTTGATTTACCAGTGATTGAACTCAATCCCACCCGGTAAGTAGTGATGAAGTCCTATATGGTAAATCGATTTATTATAAATTGTAATTAATAGAATCAGGCGTTGCTTTGCGGAAATCTATTATAATAAAGATATTAATAGATACTTTGCAACCATAAACTCAATAAAATAAAATGATGTCTCTTACCTAGTATGAAGAGCACTTCCCGTCCTACCTCAATTGCGTGCACTAATCCCGTCACTACTAATCCCAGCACCACTACTCCAAACACCACTATTCTGACACGTGTTTCGCCTCTACACGAGGCATCTTTAGGTGATGTACACTAAGTGTCTTAGCGGTCAGCTGCCATAGAGTCCATTTCACTCTGTCGCCTCTTTCAACACTCACCAGATACTAGGGGGTAGTAATACCTATTGTGCCACCACTACCCGGTTACGGGATTAGAAAAATAAATATTTACTATATAAAATTCCATACTTACATACATACTTTTACATTTAATATTTTACTCGGTTGTTATGAACTGGGTATTAGTACATAGCTATTACTTTTTACTTAACGTATAACTTTTGTTCGTACTGTTGGATGTAGATTTCCATATGGCTCTGGGGCTTAACACTTGCCGAAAATTTCACAGTACGCGAACAACTTGGTTGCGATACCCGCCAACGCCAAATACTATCAATTTTAAATGCAATTTTGAGTGCTGATTTACCACGTACTCGGCGATATAGTAAAACACCGAAAGGAAACCTGTGTCCGAGGAACAAAGTATTTCGAAAATTTGAGCGTTGTTTAATTGCTCAATAATAACCTTCTCAGAAACGAAAGAAGGCCTGAGCCCAGCAATGATAAAGATACGGGTAACTTGCCTTATTTACTAAACCGAGTTAGAGATATACTTAACAAACATACTTTTTACAGAATAAGAGTGACAAATGGGTACACAGCCCCTGATGGTAAGTGGATGCTGTGCCCATAGACATCTACATTTATCCTCGATTAAGTTTCAAACTGCAGATGCGTTGTCACTCCGGAGGGCTCAGATGGCATGTCTCATTTCCAGTAAAAAGGGCCTTAATATATTCCGAAGGTCTAATACTGAAATACAACGGAAGTAATTTGGTATTACCTAACAGTAAAATGTGCAAACTGCTTTTCGATAAGGTAATCTTATACCTCAAACCAATCATATTTATACCTCAAAGCTTCTTTGTAATGTTTGATAGCATTTTCTTGCTGCTCCGCCTCGCGGAGAAAGTTCGCAAAGTTGTAGTGCAGTTTGGCATTTTGCGGCAAAGTCACTAAATCCGATCTGCAACAAAGAATACACTTTGGGGGTGATTTAAACCTAAATCCGACAACCGTGAAGCGAATATTGGGAGGTGTAAATAGCAGTAAGCATTTCACGCTATGACAAATACGAGTTTCGGGCACTGTTATAAATATTTCACAGAATAAATTTGTACATAATTGTGGAAAGCTTAAATAAAGTTAAATAAAAATAAAAAATATAATCACTTCTTTCCACTTGCTACGATCCTTACATACTTGTTTCGCTTCGTCTACTTTCATTATTCCCTTCATACATGCTCTACGGTTTAGGGTACTCTTAACCTGGCATTTTTTCAAGACGTCCCTAATTTGGTCTAGAAAAGTCCGCCTAGGTCTACCCCTTCCAGCACTTCCATTCACACTCGCCTTATACACTTTTTTCGTCAATCGTTCTTCATTCATTCTCTCGATGTGGCCAAACCATCTCAACATACCTTTCTCAATTTTTGTCACTACATCTTCTTTCAGACCACAACATTTCCTTATCTCACTATTTCTTATCCTGTCACTCATTTTAACTCCTATCATACTTCTTAATGCTCTCATCTCAACTGCATTTATTCTACTTTCATGTTTCTTCTGCCATACCCAACTTTCACTTCCGTACATGAGTGTCGGAACCAACACCCCCTCATGCACAGCCAAACGAGCCTTGTTAGACACTTTCCGACTGCTCATAAAGGAGTGCATAGCTCCATTCACCATGTTTCCTGCATTCACTCTTCTTTCGATATCACTCTCACACTTTCTATCTCTTGTAAACTTTGACCCCAGATACACAAACTCTTTCACCTGTTCAATTTGTTCATCTTCAATCACGATATTGCAGTCTGTCACTGTCTCATCTTTTTCAAACACCATCACTTTCGTCTTCTTTACATTCATCTTCATTCCCTTTCTAACAAAAGCTCCACTCATAGCAGTTACCATCTCCTGCAACTCCTCGGCCGAAGACGCAAGTAATACTTGGTCATCAGCATAGAGAAAACATTTGAGGAGTAACTCATTCATTCTCAACCCACTTTCATTCTCTTTTAAATTTGTCATACAATTGTCCATGAACAGATTAAACAGCCACGGTGACGCTACACATCCCTGTCTAACACCTTTTTCGATATTAAACCATTCAGTGTATGCCCCGTTTATCCTTACAAAAGCACTAGAATCCCTATAAAGAGATTGCAATGCTCGTATGAGGACACTGATCACACCGTTCGTGGACAGTGCTGACCACAATTCATTCCTCACCACTCTATCACAGGCCTTTTCTAGATCTACGAAGGCGCAGTACTTCCTTGTTTTTAGCCAAACACTTTTCGGCTATGCACCGCAAGGAAAAGATTAAATAAAGTTGGGTATAATTAAATAATTTCTTAGGCACCGTGATAGCTTAGGAGATAAGTACTACGAGTATCTTTTACAGGAGACGGACAAAATTTGTCCAAAATGTACAGATTGAATAAAACTATATTTACGGATTTACGAATTTTATCGCGTTTAATTAATTATTTTAACCTACTTTTAATTCCCGACGTTTCGGGTGCTTTACAGCATCCATGGTCACGGGGGGGAGAGACTAAGATGTTTGACGTCCCAATGTCATAGTTAGCCCGGCTACCTTCAGTTTTTGAATATTAATTTTTAGTCTGATCCACGCAGAATGAGCTTACAGTATCTTGAAGTCTTGCACTAATATGCTTGGGTTTTAGGTTTGATTTTGTTAATTACAGGATCCCAAGCAGATTGTAGCACCCACCCATCTTCTCTATTAAAATTAGTATGTTTTTTAATTTCAATAGCCTCGCGTGTCATCCTTAGTAGGAATCAATGTTCTTTTACGAGGATTTGTGGTTTATTAAATCTGATGTAATGGTGGGAACGATCTTGAACATGTTCGCAGACTGCAGACTTTCGGGAGCGTAGGTGCTTCACGTCAGCTATATGTTCTTTCACGCGAATTTTTATAGATGTTTTTGTAGTAGGTCAAACAAAGAGATCTATAAAAACCCGCGTAAAAGGACACCATTGCAAGATTTCGAGATACTGTAGGCTCATTCTGCGTAGATCGGACCAAAAATGAATATTCAAAAACTGAAGGTAGCCGGGCTGCTACGACGTTGGTACGTCAAACATCTCAGTCCCCCCTCCTGACCATGGGTGCTGTACAACACCCGAATCGTCGGTAATAAAAAAAAGAAACGACGTTAGACAATGCACGGCCTTCAAGCCACACCTCCGTGCCCGTCGGAGTGGGGAGCGTGATGTTTTTTCGTTACGGCGGAATAAATTTCTGGATTCGGTCCCCACGCTCAAGGCCCGCGATAGAAGCTATGCAATAGCTTAATAAAAAAATATGTTAAAATAGTTAATTAAACGCGATAAAATCCGTAAATATAAACACATTCAATGTGTAGTATTCGCGTAAATTTAAGAAATCATCAAAGTGTATAGAAATGAAAATGGTATTAATAATTAAAATTAAAAAGGTAACTTATTATCAAATAACTATCTACATCTTGTAGCAAAAGATGAACAAAAATTGTAATTAAAAGCATTTTTTTGTTTGATTTTCTTTTACGAACCTTCTGTTTCGTCAAGTAATATTAATAAAATCAGAATAGGGAAAAACAATAACAAGACGTAGAACAGATCTAAAATGTAATAAAATAGTATAAAACATTTTAATGCTTTGTCTACAATACGCATTAAATAACAAATCTACTTTTATGGGAATATTTCACTTCTGTACTAGCAATACTCAAGTAAATGGTTTATTGACTCTGCACTCATAAACCACCTATCTAGTATGGTAGTGTGAGAAAATAATTATGAGTTGTCGTATTCTTGAAAGATTCTATATTTGATGATGCATTCAAAAAGCCGCCGAGTCAAAAGATATAAATACCTTAATAGTGTTGCCCGATCCTGCCAGTCAGCATTTCGACGATATGTTCGTGCTACTCCACTTGCAGCTAACACCGCTAAGCCAACTGCCAGAAATGCTTTGGTGCCTGGCTTAGAGTACCACAATAGTTGAAGTCCATAAGCCGTTATTATCACACTGCCGATGCTAAAAAATATGACAGTATACAAATAATTAGTTTTTATAAACTACAACTGCTTTATATCCCTCTTTATACTAGTCAAGTTCTCATCATATTTACCAGTCCACCTTAAGGTATGTGGATACTGAGGCCTGTAAACATCTACATCTATCCGCAATTAAGAATGCAGATGACTTGTAACCACTGAGGACTGTCTGTGAGGATGTAATGCCTCATTTCCAGTGAAAAGGGTATCTGGTTCTCTACACTCACCATAAGAAATACAGTAGCAATAAGCTGTTATTTTACGCTGGTATTCTCTGAGAGAGTGGTCCTATCCCGGTTGAGCCAAAACATTTGTGCTACAACCATAATATAGCCGCATCGGAGCTCTAACACGCACAAACCTGTACTATAACCTTTACTTCAAGATTATTATATTTATATTTTGAATTCGACAAGTGAGAAAAGAGCATTATATTTCCAACCTAAAATAGAAAATTATTTTCACGCCACTACAAATAACAAAAGACCATACAGTTCTGACAACAGACAGCAATTAAGTAATAATGATCCTATTGTGTCCATGACCGCAGATGTAAAGAAAATCAGCAGTATTTTTTATTTATCATTTAATCTATTATCTTTATATTATCTAATCAACAAATTTTGTCCTTGATATTTACTGCCCCCAGTAAACATTGTATATTGTAATCTTTTTTTATAGGAGATGGGGTAAACGAGCGCACGGCTCACCCAGTGGTAAGTGGTTACCGTCGCTCATGAACAACTTCAACACCAGAGGAAATGCAGATTCGTTGCCTGGCTTTTAAAAAGGAATAGGCTCTTTCTTGAAGGTCCCTATGTCGTATCGGTCCGGAAAAATCTCTGGTGGTAGTTGTTTCCAAAAGTAAGTTGTGTGAGGAAGAAAACTTCTTTTAAATTGCACATTGGTTGACTTCCAGTCATCCAGATGATATGGATGCTATCGCGAGTTTTGTCGCGAAGTGCGATGGTGAAATTGTGTGGCTGGAATTAGTCCGAACAATTTCTCAGAGCACTCTCCGTAGTAAATGCGATAAAATATGCAAAGAGGTGCAACATACCTTCGCAATGCCAGTGAGTCTAATCGATCGGAAAGAGCTCAGTCGCCGACAATTCGAACTGCTCTGCGCTGGATGCGATCACATGGAAGGAGCTAGCACTGGGGAGCCTCAGCACAGAGATGGGAACCGGAGGCCGGCACAAAGGAGTGTTCTAATTTGTACCGCGGGTAAGAGAAATATGAAGTCTCAGTCGGAGAAGACACCTGTGTTTCGGTTATAAAGAGCAAGGCCGGCTTTACCGTTTCCAGATGGTAGTGGACGGTATTAAGGTTTTAATGAAGTCCCCTGATGTTGCAGAAATTTACGGATAGCGTGGCAGGGGGCGCCTTTGACTTATTGCTCCGTTTGCCCCGAGCAGGTGTAGTCTCGAGCGGAATTTGCCGCCCCGCCCCTTACACAAACGCTTAGGAAAAGTAAGGGATTCTGGGGGTACTGATACCATTCTGAGGTAGTGTTTTATTTAACTCCGCTACCATGTTACTGCGGAGGGGGGGAATTGGGTCTCCGGCACCTACACTCACCAGACGAAATGCATAAGCAAAGCTCCTACTTCACTTTGATCTTCTGTTTGGTCTTGGTACCACCCCGGTTTGAGCCGGCTCATACGTGCAACAGCAAAGGCTGCCACGTGGCTCTACCACTGTTGTTTCTCATTATTTTGCAGTTTAAATATTACAGATGTGTATGTTTGGCTCCTTTTAGTGTCGATTTTTCATTCCACCGTGTTTTAAATCACAACAATTCCTAAAAAAAATTCACTTCAAAATGAATCGAGGTATTCATATAGCAATCATTATTATAGTGGATTGCCTCGTTAATCTAGTAAGCGCGATTGCTTATCATGTGGTCCGGGGCTCAGAAACTGAAGTAAGGAAATTAATGGTGTTAACTCACGTGCCCCGAAATAAACGTAAAGGCTTTGGTCCTTCGCCTGATTTCTGTCTGGCGTATTGGATTACCTGTCCATCGGACTACGTGAGTGCGGGATTAAAAAGTGCATTTATGATTGGACGCACCTTCTATAATCCTATTATATTGGCTGCCATGAGCGCATTTTGGTCTGGAGGAAGTTATGAAATATCCACCAAATGGTGCATTTACGAGAAGACCCACATTCAGCACTAAACTTAAATAGGCTGCATAAAACGGGAAAGATTTAATTAACTATGGGTGTTTAATGGTTACTACGTTTAATATCAATAAAAAAAACTACATACTAACTACATAAAAACTACTACATAAAATACCTCGGTGTGTAAAGAACACGTTCGGCTATGACAAAACCGACAGTTATCAGTAAATTGCTTGCTGGTAGAAAAGGAATTACTAGTAATAATACTCCAATAACGGCAGGCGTATGTCGACGATTCTGAAAAAGACAACATAATTGTACTTCACAGTTAAAAACTTATCCTATGCTTTTAAAGAGTTCCATATCATAGATATTATTTAAACTTTTATTATAAGGTTTGGTGAGTTGATTGTACAGTGTAATAGGTTGGATTCCGGCATAAAGCAGTAAGTGTTATGTCCTTCAAATAACTGTTTCATGTCTGGATGATTTTTATCTTACGATTTACATATTATGTATGAAAAAGAGTTCCTTATGTGATTTTGTAATGAAAAGATGTAAAATTTAAAATTTGTGTATCTGTATGAGATAACCCCAGAAACCATTTTATGTTAGTTCTTAAAATGTGTTCACCGTGTAGTGGCAGTTATCGTTTAGAGACGTTACGCACTACGGCAATCAATTGGGGGGGGGGGGGGCTATGCTCAGCATGGACTTTATTATGGAGTTTAATGGGCAGTGACGGTAACGGTAATTCTTTCCTAATCGAACTCACCCATTCACGCTATAGTCTTACTACCCTGTAAGCGATAGGCTATACTGTGTATGGAAATTTTCACCCAGTCGTCTCTTAAAGCATATAAGCGATGTATTGGGAGATGAATGTATCTTTCGCCACCACCGTAATATTAGTATAATTACCCTAAAATTATTCAGTTTAAAAACAAAGTTACCACGACATCGGCACCGGAGCGATAGCAAAGAAGAATCAGCGCACCAAAAGCTGCACATGTGAGTAAATTTCTAGGATCCCAGCCGCTGGTGATGAGCGCAACTGATCCCATTTGCCAGTCGTGGCTTAGTGTCCAAGGACAGAGAAGCAACCACCAGTTGAATGCTGCCAGGTAGCTGAAGGTCATTAACCTAAACATATTATTGTATTTACAAGTTAAATAAAAACAAATAGTTTAATGAATGATAGGTGGTTAGGAATCTGTAGGTAAAATGATTTATCCTTCTATTTTGCCGCAAAGCTATCCTACACATTCACTAAAATGAGTAATTAGGGTTTATCATTATCATCATCATCATTTCAACCCATCACAAGGTCACTGTTTAACATAGGCATCCTACATAACACAGTCTGACACATCAGCATTCATCGACTTCCTGCATCTCTTACCACGTCATCACTCCATCTAGTGAGGGGAGGGCTCTACACTTCTTTTTTATAGTATTGGGTGACAAACGAACACATAGTCCACCTGTTGGTAAGTGGATGTTGCGGTCCATAGACATCCACTTTTATCCTTAATTAAGAATCAAAATGCAAATGCGTTGTCACCCCTGAAGACTAAAATAGAATGCCTGTGAATTCTGTGAGAGCGTGGTCCTGCCCCGGTCGAGCCGATCCATTCGTGCTACACCGTGGCTCTATCACGTACAAGACATCTTACCGATATCTGGCCGCCACTTGACAACCTTTCTTCCTTATCGGTCATTAGTTCTTCGAGATAAATTATGGTTCGCTCAATGCCCCTTACTGATACGTTTTGGATTTAATAAGAGACTGTGTGTGAGCTATTCCATATTTGTTTTCACATGTGACAATAAAATTGTAGGCGTCTTTGTTTGAATTGAGAAAGGTGGAAAGAAAAAAATATATTTAATAATTTTAAATATATATTTTTACACAAAAAAGCTATAAAGGAGCACAGTTCAGTCTTTTCTGAACAGAGTCTCGGATTGGGGGCGACTAAATCTAGTCCAATTTAACTCAGAAGGTTGGGTAAACGCTAAAAAGAACCCCTTTGTCGTATCTCCTCAGTTTCAAGGCACTCCCCTTGTTGCCTCAGCCAGTATCGGAATCCTCGGTGTCAACATATCGAGTGACGTGCAGTTTCGTGGTCACTTGGAAGAGAAGGCCAAATTGGCTTCTAAAAAGCTTGGCGTGCTCAGCAGAGTGGGACAGTATTCCATGCCGGCACACCGCCTGCAACTTTACAAGGCGCAGGTTCAGCCACATATGGAATACTGTTCCTATCTCTGGGCTGGAGCTCCCCAGTACCAGCTCCTTCGAATTAACCGCATCCAGCGCAGAGCGACTCGAATCGTCGACGACCGAGTGCTTTCCGATCGGCTCGATTCACTGGCGTTGCGAAGAGATGTTGCATCTCTTTGCGTATTTTATCGCATCTAGTACGTGGAGTGCTCTGAGGAATTGTTCGGATTAATGCCAGCCGCCAAATTTCGTGAACGCACTACGCGGCAAATGTCCCGTTACCATCAACGCCATCTGGATGCTTGGCGGTCCACCACTGTACGTTTCAGAGGGAGTTTTCTTCCGCGTTCGACGTCTCTGTGGAATAGTTTACCACCGGCGTTTTTTTCCGGACAAATACGACCTGGGGACCTTCAAGAAAAGAGCTTACTCCTTTCTAAAGGGCCGGCAACGCACCTGCGATTACCTTGGGGTTACGGTTGATCATGGGCGGCGGTAGTCATTTAACATCAGGTGAGCCGCATGCGTCGTTTGCCCCCCTCTTCTATTAAAAAAAAACACAGAATCCGTGGTTATGATGTATGCTGCGGCCTTATACACTTTTACATCTATTTTCGATTAGAAATAAAACACAGACGTGTTGTAACCCCCTCAAAACAAAAGTCTTCATAAACGTAAAATGTTTTTCCGGTTTCTGTCACTCACCATATAAAAGACAGCCGTATCAATACTACATTTTGCGCTAGTATGCCCTGAGAAAATGTTCCTTCAGTACTCGTGCTGCCATAAAACAGCTGCAACGTTGCTCTACTAAGTTCACATCGTATGAATTTACCGAAAAATTATACTCGAGTTATTGCGAATACTTATAAATAAAAAAAAATATTCAAAAAATAGAACAAATAAATTCAAACTTTTTTGTATTGAAAGATACGTTTTTATAGAAGAAGACACCGTTCCACTTGATGATAAGTGGATGCTGTGGCCCATACACATCTCTATCTATCATCGATTAAGAATCAAAATGCACATGCATGTCACCTAAGGAATGCACCGTTTATGTGAGAGTTTAGTTTTTCCTCAGTCTAGCCGACCCATTCGCGCTACAGCTGTGATATGGCTGTAGCATGGCTTTACCACGCATAAAATTATTATTCACTTAATTTTTACCATAACTATTGTTTGACTACTATCCAATCTGATGGTAAGTGATAATACTATAGACGCACGCAATATGGTGACGTGCTACTGAACTTAATATGAGTCTATTGACTCTTGCATTGAATACACCTACATTATAATCAAAAAGAAAGGAAGATACTGCCAAATTATTCCAGCCCTTTTCTGTACGAGTTATGAGCAACGAAGTACGCCATTTGGTTTGAATGCGTGCTATGATATGATAAAAAGTAATAAAAATTGAGAAAACAGAGTTCTATCTTAATCACCTTACAAGAAAACTAGGATGGAAAGCAGCCGGGTTGTCTTGAGGAGAAAATGACGGCCATGTTCCTTGCAATAACTCCAGCCGGAGGTATATCAGTACCGCAAGGGATACTAAGACTTTGAATGTTCGGACTGACAGACCAGCGCATTTCTTTTCGATTTTCATTAAGTAAAAAGACCTGAGAATAAAAAGATGTGTTAAGAAATAAATAATCAGATATAACAAATAAAATACTAGTTTAATGCGAACAACACGATAATGATGTTTTCCTGAGTGATTAATACAGCTTCCGAACACAATCAGAAAAGTTATTACCTCATCAGATATCGATTTGACACGATACGATCTCGGATCATCATCTCGAATGCATCTCGTGACTATTACACAACGTATTATAACAATTCAAATGACATAAGGTTTATACATAGCTTCCATACAATATTTTAGAGAAATGACTAATTAAATCGCCACATGTTGATATCTCTGAAATTACGTGCTAAGGCCTTAGCAGACGTGCAGTATTTGCAAAATCGCCGCCGCCATACGAGGGGATATATACCTAATAGATATATATTTTTTTATTATTAAGTTTTGTTGCACTATTGAAAGTTTAATTAACTAAAGATTTTACTATATATAATAATTCTGTAAACTTAATACAAAAATAATTTATGAAATAATGATTATCTTTTAGTCATCATTAAGAGATATTATATTATGAAAATGATTTTAATAATCAAGCAATCTATATTTATATTCTTTATTATACACTAATACACAGTAGAACGAAACAAAATGAAATATGTAAAGTACAACATGCGGCCTTATCGATCTAGTAACGATTTCTTCCATACAACCGTTGCTTAGCAAAGAACCGTTGTTTACAGCGAATTGCAAATAGGGAAGGCGTATATATATTTATATTTAAGTTAAAAAAATGTAAGTATATAAATACATACACCGAGTACTATTTGGACGAGCTAGAGAGATAGGAGCATCGCTAGCAGTGTGTAGAGCTACAAGGAAACTATGTAGAAAAATAAAATAAATTTTAAGAAACAATGTCTTGTATCTTTGTAAGGTCGGAAACTTTTCAGACCACCCACGTACAATATGTTTTAAATCCTGTAAATTTTATGTCGTTATGTTTATAAAAACGAATCGCTTAGGAGATACATCCGTTTATAAATCCAAACAGATAGACAATATTTTATGATATATTCGTATTAAGAGTCAAACACTAAAACCATTTCTAAGATGAAATTTTAAAAATTACACACAGAAGTTTCAATTACTTATATTTATGTGTCTGCAAAGGTAATGGCTGCTAGCCGCCTGAATAAGCTTAAGGTCACTTAGCGATCAGGAGCGAGAGCGATGCTCACTTTTTCTTGGCTTAAAGATTTTCTGTAAATGAAATACTTGTCTATTATTGGCGGTATCTCACATCTAGCGCCTCTTTCCTCTTGCTAGTCAGCACAATCTATTAATGACCAAGAACTAAAAATGTTTTCCTTAATTCGATTCTTAAAACGCCTACGGAGACAACGGAAAGGCCTAAAGATTCACCAAAGCAAAATATTTCATGTGTATTCCCTTAAATTGAATCTTAAACGGCTTACGGGATTAGATAAGGCAAGGGCCTCAGCTGATTTATTTAGCACAGTCTGTATGGATTTAGAAATAACTAATATAATAGCATCAACAAATCTTCTATCTCCCCCTCAATCAGGTTTTTTTAATTGAATATAATTTACAGAATTACCTTTTTACGAATGGCCAACATCTATAAAAATCGATGACAATATTAAGAAGAAGTGCTGTTACGCCAGTCTCTTTTGCAAGCATACTAAGTGCTCCAAAAACAACGCTCAACCCCACACACCTCTTATTGCTTGTAGGTCTGTAAGAATGAATGACAAATTGTTATTCTAGCAATATAGTTGCGATGTACCAATAAACATGTCATGTGATACTAGTAGAGTCTAAGAAAGATATTTTTCTTTCCTCATTTAATGGATTATTTTACAAGTAATTTATTTAAATTATCATCACTACAATTGTGCACATAGTTTACTTGAGGTTAGGAATTAAATTTTTAAGCTAAATTTGTTCCTTTTTGTATGGAAGTTACTGTAAAGGTGGCACAATATTTTTTGAGTCATTGTAAAAAAACAAGGATTTTTCTTATTTAACATAAGATAAGAAAAGATTTTTGTGCTACAACGTTACTCAAGTGCACATCCAGTTCATATTAATATAAAATATGTTTTATCTCCCAGACATACAATTTCCTTCCAGATGCATAAACCCGCCGGGCTAAAGTGAGCATTCTAGCTTACTTTTTTTGGGTATAGCTAGAAGATCCTACTTAGTTAGTTTTTTTTTTCAAAATAATATTGTTATTTATATAAAAAGCATATTCAATTAATAGAATAGAAACCACAATAAACTTTATTAATAAATTTAAATTATTTATTTATTAAATTATATATTTACCTATGGTAGACTAAGACAGATAACAGAAAAAATATGCACGCCAAGACATCTGCCCTTCCGACCACTCCAGCTACCTACCAAAGAAGTAAAAAATTATTAATCAGTGATAATTATAATTCAACGTAACACATTGTAACGTAACGGTATAGGAGTTTATCGGGGTTTCCGTGTAGTTGTGGCATCAAATACTCTACTACTATTCAACAATGGCAAAATTGGATAATTAGATGGCCATATAGGGGAGATCTAATTAGGCAGTTAAGGCAATCTAATTAGGCCATCTAGCATTATAAGTGCTAAGCTATCCTCTCTTCTACTCTCTCTATCCTCTCAATTTTATAATCCTGCTAATAAAAACGAAGCTCTGACGACGAAACCAACAAAATGTACTATGTTCATTGAAATCATGGAACTGAAATCCAGTATGCTGCTTTTATATATGAAAGGGGGAAAAATAAATGCAGCTCACGAGACTAATTTCATTTTTCATTTCATCCCATGGTTGTCGAGGACAACTATGCGAAATACCAAGAAATCGTATCGATTCGGATAGATATTGGTATGATGATTTTAAATCAAGAGATATAATAATATGTTTAATATAGTGCCAGCCTTCTTAGGTCCCACTGCTGGGCACGGGGACCCTTTCATTTCTTAAAGTGATTGAGGACAAGGAAGTGTCCGCCGCGTTGTTTCAAAGCGTGTTGACGGAATTTACATTTCTTCGATTTTTTTTATATCTCAGACGTACAGGTTACCTCACAATGTCAATTAACATTAAATTGCAAGTAATAAGTTCTTTGGCACCGGCGGGAAACGAAATCGGATTAGTTTTACGGTGCGCTTAGCTCCTTAGTTACCACGGCTGTTTTATTTTATGCTCTGTTTTATTATGTGTTTAACAGTTTAACATATATACAATTTTAATTATAATAAATAAAAGGCTTAATTTAGAATAAAATAAATAATAAACTAATGCAAGTGACCGTACTTAATTACTGCCAACGCTGTTCAACTGTCCCACTGTAATTAAAGCCAATTTTATGTGCTTAAATAGTTACCGCTTCAGTGTGCACAGGATGCACTGCAAATAATATAGCCGCCAGTGCAGCAAATGGACGTTGCAGACGAGCTATTGTCATGCAAGCCCTTGTGACCAGCGCGCAGCACGCGGCGTGAAGCGAGACATTACAAGCATGCCACCACCACGACTGTAATCCAACTAGCGCGTGATTAAGTCTGAAACAATAGACAACATTTATTTTATTCAAAATTAGAACAAATATTCATTTTTTTGAACCAAAGTCGCAAATACACACCACGATGATTTCATTTTTGTTTTTGTGACGAGGGTAAGTTTCTTATGCAATGTTCATTTACGGGTAGCAAGTTAGTGCAAAAAGCGAAACGTTAACTAGAAAACGTCGCGCTTTTTTTACGTGGTATGTCTTTACCAGAAGAAGCTATTTAGTAGTAATTATTATAGTGGTAATTTTATAATAGTTCTAGTAGGAATGAGTTGGCTCGACCGGTGTAGAAAACTCTTACAGAATACCAGCGTAAAATTGCAGCTAAATGATGCTAAAAACCTAAATCCTTTTCACCGGAAACTAGGCATTCCATCAGAGATGCAACACATCTGCATTTTCATTCTTAATCGAGGATAGATGTAGATGTCTATTTGATATAGCAACCACTTGCCATCAGGCGGTCTGTGTGCTCGTATATCCCTTATCTAAAAAAAAAACATTTAAGAACACAAACTTATTATAATTTTACTCAAATTTTTAGTATTTAATCTTTTTTAAGTCTTTATTGGATAACTGTTCAATATTTACTCAGTTCACTTCCACAAGGAGGAGATCATCAATTCGGTTGCTACGTTTTTTTTTTTTGTAACTAACGCAAACCACGCATTCTGCATGTAAACTTTCTTTACGGTATCGTTTTTATAATTAGTTATTTTTTATCTAATCCGTAGTTATTTTTATAGCTTTTCTAACTTTTGCTAATGATAACATCATCAAGCTAGCTCACTTCGTTTGTCAAGTATAATCTTTGGGTTAATTTTTCTGTAGTCAGATAAAGGTTGTCCATCATATATATTTTAATTATAACTTGACAAAATATAAAAGCGAGCTGTTTTTCATACCTCTTTAATTTTCAATAGGTACATGATATAAAATATAACTATATTCACAAATTTCTTCACAATATGTTGGTGCGTCGTTGGTGTAGAGATTTTGACAACTGCTTAACTAAGCATTCGGTCTACTATTGTATCTCAAGTTCATAAGGCACAGTCTTAAGGTGCGTAAGCGGATAAAATAAATCAAGGTTTGTTAATGTCGTAGTACGTTACTACATAATTTTTACTAATAGTTAACATGTGTAGACATTTTATAAACCAAACCTAAGTACTTACATTACAAGACTGGCTCTGCGGCCTTAATACATTGCGCACTATGTTCTGATCAATTCTTAGTAAGTTCTTTAGGCAACTGTGAGCAGCTGTGAAGGCTAGTTCTGTGTTTTGTAAATTTTGAAACTTGTTTTCAACAATCTAACAATGAGTAGGTTTAATGTGACCAAGAAAACGCTGTCATTATATATGTAACTTTATTTCAAATTTGCCCAAAAACCGTAACTGTTGTAAGTAACAATAGAACTGCGTGGTTTATTTAACGTGTCAGCTACACCCACCATGTCCACGCCCACGTTATGCACGCTGCGATACGGTTTTTGTTCTGAATAGATAGCATAATAGTATAATATAGAAGTATATATAACATTATAGTATATAAAAACAAAACCGTACTACTTGCCAAAATTAAAATAATAATATAGGTATAAATCCGCTGAAACTCCATACATTTTTGCATGCCTTAAGCGCAAAACACGTAGTTTTTTATAGGAGAAGGGTTCTACTAGCGCCCAGAAATCAAGATCAATATTTTGATACATTTGATAAATACCAAAAATTAACAACTAAATCAAATATCCAGCATACGAAGTCGTTGACCACAAACACGAATCATAAACAACGCGCTGTCCATAATTTATCAAAATAAACTCTGAACGTCGCCACAATAACAGTTTTAGGAAAAGGTTTAAATTATGCTATAACACCACGAAGAATATCATAATATGAGGATACTATCAGTAGTGTTGAGGATTGTCTGTATAAAAATAGTATTGGTAATGAAGATTTAGATGCCATACGTCAAGAAATTTCGTCTATGTTACGTCGAAGCTCAGCGCGCAAATTAAATCTTCTCAAAAATAAATTTAATTCGTTGAAAAACTTTCGCAACAGGCCAGAGCTTACGATTCTCCGTGCAGATAAAGGTAATGCTATGGTTATAATGGATACATCAGATTACAATTTTAAATATATAACAACTTTTGTCGGATGAAAGTACATACCGAAAGTTCAAAATAGATCCTTCAACTAATACGCTTAAAACAACTAGCGATCTAATTAATAAATACTCGGAGAAATTGAATCTAGACGTTAATTCATGTGCCAAACCACCGAAGTTGTATGGGTTACCAAAAATACACAGACAAAAGGCTCCATTGCGTCCAATAGTGAGTCAGATTGATTCGCCAACTTACAGATTGGCTCAATACTTAGCTTAAATATTATCACCACTCAGAGAACACACAAGAACACACACTAAGGATTCATACCATTTTGTCAGTGAGATAAAAGACATATGTCTTTCTGCCAATAAAAGCATGGTTAGTTTGATGTTCAGTCTCTATTTACATGCCTACCTGTTGAAGACTGCATCTCAATTATAACTTGAAAACTAGGGGAAAATCATATGCCAGGAGAATATGCAGTACTACTCAGACATTGCCTTATATCTGGCTATCTATTGTGGAAGGAAGAGTTTTACAAGTAAGTAGTTGTTGATGCGATGAGCTCACCTGTATCTCCTATTGTCGCCGATATATTCATTGAAGACTTTGAGGAGAAAGCCCTCCTTACTACACCTGTTACCCTAAGGTTCTACAAGTGGTACGTAGACGATACTGTCGCAATCTTACCATCAAAAAAAGTTACTGCATTTTTAGAACATCTTAATTCCAATAACTTTCTGCACGAATACAAGCTACAGCCACAAGTCGTATTCCTCTACAGCATGCAGGAGAGTACAAGCTTGATTGTGAATGTGGTCTCTCATACATAGAGCAAACAAAAAGATCTATTAAAACCCGCGTAAAATAACATATGACTGACGTGAAGCATCAACGTTCCGCGAAGTCTGCAGTTTGTGATCACATCCTAGGCGGCCCCAACCATTACATCAGATGTGATAGACCTCCTCCTCCTCGCGAAAGAACATCAATTCCTACCAAGGATGATACGTGAGACTACCGAAATTATAAAACATCCTAATTTCAATAGAGAAGGAGGCTGGGTACTACCACCTGCTTGGGACTTATAAACGTAAACGTAAAATTTTAAACTAAATTTGGTTTTATAAACTGATTATTAAAATTAAGTTTATCGATCCTTTATTATTATAAATTTGATAATGTACTAGTATTTTGTTCTCTATTGAAGCCAGTGAAACCTAAAATATGTATATCAAAAAAATGTCTTTTCAAATGTTAATAAATATTTTGTTAAAACTTTAAAATTAACTTTATTCAACTTAACTTTATCTTTTAAGCTCTGTATTCAATTAAAATAAACATTTTTAAGAAGTCTTTAAGTCTTTAAAAAAGTAGTAATGAATTATCAACTATTAAAAATAACTTAAGGCCATGTATTCCTGCAAAAGTAGGCATTTAGCGCTGTCCCGGCCGCGCACGAATTATTTCGCGCGGACTCCAAGGCAGTGAACTTGCATGACCCAACCAGCAACACAGTATAGAAATAAGCAGTAGGATGACTTTTTTATTTGACTTTACAACTGCATTTTTTATGATCAAACTTTTTTTATTATAGCGATAAAATTAGAGTTACATAATAAAAAGAAAATTAACAACCAGTTCGCTTTTGATAGGTATGGAAACTTATGAGTAGAGAACTGTTTTTAAGTTTCGTGTGAACACACACAACGCTAGGGGGAGAAAGTCAAACTTACAGTGAAATTCATTATAACTATTAAAACTACAGTATTTATATTTATAGCACGCAATATTTAGTCTGTGACAACAATCATATGAACTCGTCAAGAACTGATTTATTGGTGCACGGAGAAAACTGACGCGGGTCCATCGTCCATAAGCGCCAGCGCGCGACTGGTCAGGCTTGCCGAGCCGCCGCGCTCGCGCTTTTAGGAGGTATCTAAATATAGTAATTAACACAATATTTTTATCAAGTCAAACTCTGCGAATTTGTCTGTAAAAATTAAGTGACTTTATTTGAGTACAAAATTTAAGTGTAAAATGTTAGTAGTTTAGTCATAATACTGAAAAAACAATACAAAAAGGGATTTTTTTCTATCGAGTGAAGTTCTATTTTGACTGGATTTTGATAGAACTAATTGTATATATTTTTATCAGAATTTAAAACACTAATTTCTATGCCTCAGATGGTTTAAGAGAACTCAAAAGCGCGGTCTCTGCGAAATACCTAGCCTTAAATAACAAATACTCGATAATATATGCAAATATATAATAAAAATGTAGTGTAACGATTTTAAGTACATAAATTAAAAAGTATTTAAAACAATAATTTATAGATTCATTTTGCTTGTATTTTTAATAGAACATTTTATAAGTTAAGTTGAATTGTGTAGTATGTGTCATACGATGTAATTGCAAACCTTTCCTTATACGTACTGTTACGAGCTTGGGGTTCATGACAATAGAAACTGCCGATTGAATTACCAAAATTGACACTTTAATTACCAAATACCAATTAAAACTTAAAACAAAGTAATAATTAATCACAATGATTACTTTAGTTCGCAGTTATATCGCTTTTGAAGTATTCGCTTGATTCGTCAATTCGATACTGCCTCGGGTATCGGTCAATACCAATCGTATATAAAGCCTTTTCTACCGAAACATCTAGATTATTGGAGTACATTCATGTAGAAAGTTCTAGTATGGATTTTTTTAGAAAACCCTCCTAGTACTGCTACTTGATACTAGATGGGGCTAGTGGCACTAATTATGGTGCGCAACAGTGCCTTGAACTTTATAACTTAGGTGACATAAACCGCTTACGCGACTGCTTACTGGAATTGGAAGTTGTACTTTGATATGTGTTGCTA